CGTTTAAGACCATACAGCATTGATTTTACCTCAGCAGACAAATTCGATACCGATTTTCCAACAACTGGGTCATGCCGAGACGCTGGATCAAATTAAGAGCCTTCCAAGGTACATGTAGTTACTGCGCTACATGCATTCATTCGTAATGTACCAAGAACAGTTAGGGTAATGCATCTATAACGAAGGTAATAATAATAATCGGCTAGAGCTTATTATAACAGATGTTTTTTATTTTAATCGCATTTTTAATTTTTTTGGTACTCATGCACAAATTTAACTTTCCCTTTGTTTGTCACTTTGCACTTTTTGCTACTAAATCATCTCTTTAAATCGAAGGTCTGTTTGTAGCCAAAAAAGCGTACTGTACGTGGGTTGAATAGTCAGACTGTTTTGTTGTGGTTGTGGAAAAAATCTCGAGACTCGGAGTTTGTTTTACCAATGTGGCGCTATGTAGAAGCAACTTAGCACTAGTCACAAGTGCTCGGTACACTGAATGTTTAAACATATTTCCTCAATATCAAACACTAAAGCACATAGTACAATAGTTGTTAGATATCGATAAACTGAGAACAAAATAGTTGAGAAGGAAATCACAATGGATAACTTTTATTTACTGCCAATTCTTTTTTCATGGCATGATATTAATATAAGATACAACTATAACGATTCTGAGACACGAGCAAAACTCGGAACTTGGGTTAGACTTTGAGCCTATAATAACTTTTCTCTGAAGCCTTCGTTCTATGCGTGCCCAGTCGCAGCTTCGAAGTTTAGAATGCTTGTGATTGTATTTCACATAACATCCTACAGTGAAGAAAGATTATGTAGTAAGTAAAAATTAAGATCTTAACCCTTTTATTTACTGCCTTTTTCTTTTTAATGGCAGGGTATGTTGCGAAATATAACTCTTATATAATGCTGAGATATTTGGAAAACTCAGGACCGCAGGTGTATGCGGTGGGGAACGAACGCTAGCTATTGTCCTTTCCGCGGAGTAGCTCACTTCACCACCACACCATCTGGGTCCTTCGTTTTGCCTGTCTCTCAGCTAGTTCTATTGATCTTTTGCCATCAACAATCACCCGTCAACAGGATTGATTTGGGTTATATACGAGTTAAAAACTGAGACTTTGTGATTTCGGTTCTAGCTGCAGCTTAGCTGGGTTCAATGCCTATTTGTGCTCTTCAGATCATTCCCATCGACTGGTGATTGTGGTAGTGTCGCTAGAGTAAAAGCCAGGTTGTGAAAGCAAATCGAGAGACTCGAATGGTGTAGTGGATATCATATGAACCCCTGTAAAACTTAATCACGGGGTCGAGGCCCACCTGGGTTTCTGAGTTTCGCTGATCTCTCAGCATTTCTGTAGTTTATAAGGATTCGGCTTTTTTTCTTCATCAAGTCTGTTCTAGTATCTACGAGAATTTTTTTGTTCCAAAACTCGTACGTCGAAAACACGCTAGTACTCCCGCATGGATGTACGCTATGGAAAAAGAAAACACCTACAGTCATTAAAACCCTACCGATCATATGGATGCTATCGACAAAACACTTCGTGGATGTGTGTGATGCAAGTATACAAGTAACCAAGGAATTATAATTGGCTTTCAGTTTCTTTCAGTTTTGAAGGCTTGGCGTACGGTTTATCAATTCTATGTGTTCTCTCTTAATTGTTTTAATCTGCGATGTCGTCCCATTTTGCCATTCGGCTAGTAGCAGGAGTCGTTTTCGTCCTGGAACAATCAAAGTGGCAGGGCATGAAACTTACCTCTGGCGTATGTTCCGCAGGCGCCATCGACTGCCTTCGGTGCCGATCTAGAACTACTTTGGTACGGTAGTCTCGGGATAACAAGGGAGAGTATGTTTGGCAAACAATTAGGAAGGAAGACAAATTCTGAAGTCACAGATAGGCACACACTCAAGCATCTCTATAGAAAATGGTTGCGAGACAGTGAAACGAATGGAAGAAATTCCGGCAGCAGCTTGAAATGTGAGGAGAGCCGTCAGAATATCTAATGAACTCATCAGACATTCACGTATCAGCACAGGCGATGTCTTCTCAGTGATTGACTAGCCGACCTTTCACTCGAAACAGTTCACGTTAAGATCCAGGATGGGTCGTCTGGAATTCCAATGAAAATCCTTCTTCACCTCTTTTGTACATGAAAATATTAGATATTCCGGCGTTAGAAATCATCGTTAAGTGTAGTTACGTCACCTTATTTATAAAAAAATCTTACCGTACTCTTTTTTTGATAAGTCAAAAGTCAACCTCAATAGTGGGCTTATCTTTAGGATATAACATCGTGCGGTGGCATAAGATCGAATTGGAAACCAAAATATTCGCTCAGCGATGGACTTGTATTACCTAAACTGAGATTATTTTCACTTATTTTAGAGTAATCTACTATTTCATTAGGAGCTGTTTGCTTGAGTCGTTGAGAAAGCTATTTTTGCGTAGTTTTTTACGACTGAAAAACTACTGGTCTTTTTCTAAGCCACGTTGTGTTAATGAAGACTTTATATTCTTTACATAGATTGTGCTACCGAATATTCTGGATATTATAACTACTGAAAATAGTACGGCAACGGTGCTCAGACTCAGTCTCTGTCTTTATGAGTCAATAACAGCAGTGCTGATCTTGGTAATTGTCTATTGAGCGCCTGACATATGTTCATCAGATTGCATAATAAAGTAATGATTGTGCTAGATTGTGCATTAATTATTGCTGGCCTCGGCCTGCCTTTTGACATCTGTTTCAAATAATCACCGCTCAGTTAGAAGAGGGATATCATTGCCCTTACTTTATGGTTATTCTTTTCTTTTCTGCTCAACTTTAACTCCTCTTTCTGTTTGCTTAAAGTTGGAACTATTCTGACTTAGAAAACATGAGGTGTCACTCGGTCAGAGCTTTTTTGCCGTTGCAGCTGCAGCTTTGCTGAAAAAGAAAAACACCGATTACAGTTTTTCTGTCGTCCATTCGCGACAGATGACAAATTGTCGACGTTTGATGATTCAAATGGTAGTGACGTAGCTTTCTCGATGATCTTATTCTTTACAGATTATTGCTTCAATTTTTCGTTATCTTCGTTATCTCGTCTCCGTAATGGGGGTAGAGTTTTTCGTCGGTAGAATTTTTGCGTTCATCGTTCATTTATTTTCTTTCTTCTTGTCGACAGCAAAGTTGTATACACGTTAAGCTTTGTAAAAGTTGTTTAGTAGGGGTGAGAATTTTTTTGAAGACCTAGTTTTTATTGAAGTGCCTATAGACCAGAAAGCTTCAGTGTTCTTGATAGGTTGACACGAATCTCAAACATTTCAGCGAACTTTCTTTTTTTTCAAAGTCTAGAAAGGATCATATTAGAATACATGAGATAGTGGAAACGCTAGAGATTTACTAGACTTTTTCTATCCACTTGAAAATGACTAGTGGTTTAAAGATAACTACCTTTCTTCGGCCTTTAATAACGTCTTTCTTATGTCTCTTCGATCTAATTAGTCTTTTACATACACAATAAGCTACTTGAATAAGAATAGCGCAATATGAATGCGTCGTTTTCTTGTTCAGCAATCGCGAGGTTTTTAAACAGCATACATTTACTTCCATATAAAAACACAATACAATACAACACTGGCTGACGTTTCGGCAGTATCGCCTTCTTCAGAGCCTGGAAGGGTATACTGATATACAATCATACAATATACATATACACAATTATACAATTATACTGATATACAATTACCAAAGAGTTTTTCGTCTTTTTGTAAGTGTTATTGAAGCGTTTGGCCTAGTAGATTGTATATCAGTATACCCTTCCAGGCTTTGAAGAAGGCGATACTTCCGAAACGTCAGCTAGCGTTGTATTGTATTGTGTTTTTCTACGGAAGTAAATGCATGCTGTTTAAAAACCTCGCGATTGCTGAACAAGAAAACGACACATTCGTATTCGAATGCCGAGGTTAATAGAAAGTCGATCCTGGGAACTATAGCGCAATAGTTTGATGGTTCCTGCAACGCACACCTAATTCTTACTTCGATCCGACGCAACGGGCAAGCCAGTCCAACATCTCTCCGTGTTCGCCAAATTGGTGTCTGGGAGGATGTCTGCTTGACTTAATACATCGGTAAGTCTGAAAAATCATTTTATAGACCAAATGCACATCCAGTCACCTTTACGACGCTTAATGGAGTCAATTACATGACGAAACCCTAAGAATTTTATATTTCTGAATGCTTTGTCGTTTACTGAACTATCTCATTAGATATCTCCCAACCGTGATGCGTGTCCCTGATTGGTGGGTGAAGTGTAAGCGTAAGCGCCTCGAAGTGCTTTCATAACCTGGGATCTGAGCGACCTCCTGTATCAGATCTGCTCTTCTGCCTCTCCCCTATTACTGGGAAGTGGAATACTCGGTTGTTGTTTACCTTTCAGTAACCAAACATCCTAGGTGGCTCTGACTAACGAATGATGGTTTATTAAATGACTAAGGTATAATAAGTGCATACGGAAATTGCCGATCTATCACAGAGAATGACCAGAAAGCGTTCTCAACGGAACAATTGATTGACTCATCGTTAATGATTAATGTTGTGGTGAATTAATGTGAACCTAGTTGTAATGGTGACATTTCCTTTCCATTCGAATAATAAAAATGTAGTTGTTTTGCAGTTGGATATTTTTGGATACACTGCTTGATATTTTGATCAATTGAATGTTGGATATTTTGATCACAAATGAAAGGCAGTCTATGAAGTTAAATTAGTTTTTTGTGAATCTGTACTTTTTCTCCGACATTTGCAGTTGTTTTAGCAGAATTAGGAGCTATGCTGAAAAGAACAATCTGTCGGTCGTAGTTGACATCCTGCTTTCTAGGTCAACATTTCGGGACTACCTGTGAAATTATTGGATGATGTTAGAAAAAACGCGATTCATTTTTTCAGTGCGGAATACGGCTATCACTCAGTGATTTGGGGCTTTCTATCTACGAAACATTTCAGGAATGTTTCCGGAACGGTGTCTGAAAGCGCAATGTTCTGTGGTGTTTCATCCAGAATGTCCGCCAGACTCACGGCAAGTGATGTTACCACCACCACACGGCGAGTGCTGCGGTCGACCAGGGACTTGTCACTGTGATCTCCAGGTAATTTTTCTGTTAAAAAATGGTATCGTATATTTTTTATAGTGAGAATAGATTTTAAGCAACTTCTTCATCTGATTAGCAGAAAGAACGAGGTTGAGAGAAAATCCTATGTGCTGCTGATATCGGTCTTCCATCTGTTTTTTCAGCCACTTTAAAATAAGCCATGTTTTCCTTTTTCAATATCATTTTTTAGCGAAAATCTGTTTCACGGTCTTAATCGATTTTCTTTCAGAAATGTGAGGCATTCGTTCCCATCTGTGAGAAGGGCATGGAAAGGGTTTTGGTAAAAGAAGGCAGTCACCAACCCGGCTCATGCTGTGATGTGTTTGAATGCCGAAAAAAAGGTGAGCAGAACGTTGATATGCGATAGCTAAACGATGTGTTAGGTAAATAGGAGCGTAATTGCGTAATTACACCATTGAAATGAAAAACAACAGGTGTTCGCTTCTAGTATGCAATTGATGCTAAACTAGGTTATGGGAATATTCCGTAATTCTGTGTCGTAAATGGCACGTGCTCATTTTCTGGCTGCGAGAATATATGAGCTTGTTAAGAGCCCATCGAATGTCTTCATTACAAGTCAACATTTATTCGTGTGATGTCGTCGCCTAAATTTAGGAAGAGGAGTGCAGTATCGCCTTTCTATTATTCTCCATTAGAGAAGCTATGCCATTTTTGTTCTCTATTTTCAGAGTTTACCACTTCGTGCTGAGATATTCTCCATGAAATTATTAACAATGCTATGTAGTAGATGTCTGGCGTTCTTTGGCAGTGTTTAAGATTATTTACCAGAGTGAATCTTTTGCAGTAATTTAAGAAGAACCTAAACAACTGGCACTAAAAGGTTGGAGAAAATGGTTATGTGGGATAAGAGTTAAGCTTAAGAAAGCGCATATTGAATACTGAAGCAGAATATCTGATGCACTTTCTATAAACGTGATAAGACGTATTTCTTGAGAGTCTAATTTTAACTAACTTGGATCCACTCTATTTCGAGGGATTAAATGCCAAAATAGAAGACTAGGTGAAAGGTTAATCGACGAGGTGGATTGCAAAGGACGATTAGAAGGCTATATCGAAGCGAAATCAATGTCTTATATCCATGTTATTGCATCGTTTCTGACACCATTTGAATGCCTTGAGATGCTCCCACGACCGACTTTCTATTAACCTCGACATTGATCAAGTAATTCTTCGTATTCTTGTTGAGATATATCCTTGAGATATATCCACGCATCTACAAGATGAGTGTGGAATGGAGATGAGTATCCAGTACATGGATTCCTGTTCCTTAGAATAAGCGCGTTACTTGTCTACGTTTGGCAAAACACGTGCTAACGTACTGAGAGAATGGAAAACAGTTCAGTGAACAAATCAATGACGATCATTATTTCGAAGAATACAAGAGGATTGGAAGATCTAGTAGTCTTTAGGGCTGAACCGAGGACAACGTGAATGTAATGAACGAAGCTTAGGGACCATGAAGTCACTGAGACAAAAGACAATCGCATGAGATAGTTGTTCTACCCAGCAAGAAAGAAGCGATAAGCAGTAACGTGCGCTCGTTGATTGTCGGTTTCTGTTGTTACATTTACATTCATTTTAGTATGTTACACTTGTAGTAGATACTTATCGGAATCGTCCTCACATATCATTGTGTTGAATGTTTTTGTTATCTTGCAGAAGTTAACCATAGAAGGATCGGAGGCCCACGTGGATTTAGATGCAGTTCCTCATTGGCAAATTTGATTCTTGTGGAGTTTAGTTTTTTCTAGAATCTTGAGATAGCTATATTAGAACGTTCTTTGGTCTTCGACACATGCAACCGTCTCCTGTTGTGGATCGATGGGATTTTTCTGTCGTCCGACCATTCTTCTTTCAAGGCAACGGCAATGCCTACTAGTGCACAGATGTTGTAACAGACTAGAATCCACACCCGTCGTGCACGTAACGTTTATGCCACAGCGTGGATATGAGGTCACAACTTTGACCAGTTGTCACTGGAATATAATCACAGTAAGCATTTGTTCCCATGAATCTACTTCATATGAGGGGTCTAGAGCCGGTTTGTCGCGAGGCTAGGCTACGTGTTGCGTCCTGCCCCGTCGTGGCTAGGAGGTGTTCCTGAGTGTCGGACTGCTATGTACAAAGGAGTGATTCGTCTTCCCGGCAGGGTCTCCCAAGCTGGGAAGGAGTCCGGCGTTTCCATCAGGAAGCCTAGCTAAGAGTAAACCATTACTAGAATATACCATCGTTCTGGTATCAAAGTCGCATGGTGGCAAATTTTCCTCTGATCCACAAGGGCTGCGACTGCCTGTAGTGGTGAAGACCTGTGGCAGACTTTGGCCAGGCTGACCTTAGGATTCCAGCGAACGCCAATGGCTTAACCAGCAAACCTCCGAACAATGGTGATTGAGGGAGACCGCGCAACCAGTTAAGACGAGTCGTTTCAAGTATCGAGTGAGTAGTATTCATCCATGCATGTGTGGGGCGTCGTCGTTTATGTGGATTGTATTCTACGAGTCAATTCGGCTAAAAGCCTGAAATCATGTGATAACGAAGTATATGGGGGCGGTTAGGAGTTTCCTCTAACAAATAAGCTTCATGTCCCCTCTGGAAGAGACTGGCAAGCTACCCTCAAGTATATCCAGCACTGATGTTCAGAGTCCAGCAAGCTATGCTTGCCTGGATACTTGGTCGGTCAGTCTTCACCAGCTGTGCGGACCCCAGCTGTGGAGCACATGTGTCATTCGTTCTTTCTCTCGCAATCGTTGTCTATGGGGGTAGTCTTGTTCGAGCATGGTAGTGCGTGCGAGTCTGATACCGTGATCTGTGAAGCAACTGCAGCTGCGGGTACAGCTGATGATCAATTCTGTTTACGAACACGTCCGCCCAACGCGGATTTTCGGGTCCTTCAGTTGGTCGGTGGCTTCTTTGATAGGCCCGAACGCGGCCTAAGCCGGTCTCCTTCTTCTATCTATTCCTCGTTCATGTTGCTTTCCATGTTCATTGATCACCCAAGGTAAACGTACGAGATGGTCTCTGCAATGAGAGAGCCATCCAATTCAATTTTTTCTCCTTCGCACCATGGGTTTTTCATGAACTGAGTCTTCTTTCGATTTATGCGATGCGATTTTTCCGATCTTTTTCCCCGCTTCGTTGAGCTCGTTGATATACCTATGCTTAGCTAATACTTCTTGAGAAGTTGACAAGGTCGTCGGCAAAACGAAAGTTTGGTAGGATTTTTCCATCAATACATATGCCTTTCTCATCCCAATCGAGTGACTTCATTATCCACTGCAGTGCGGCACTGAACAGCTTTGACGATATTGTGTCACGCTGTGGGACCCATTTTCCTATGGGTATTGTAAAAGGTCGATGGAAAAGCTGCATTTTCGTAGTGCAGTTCTGATAACAGTCGGACAGAGTCCTTATGTAGGATGGCTCCACTCTTTGGTCGACGAGCGCTGATAGGATTGCATTCGTTTCGACACTGTCAAACGCTTTTTCATAGTCGACAAAGGTTAGGACTGGAGGCAAGTAGTATTCCCGACAAACTTCGACGACCCCGCACACGGTTTGGATGTGGCCCATGCAACAAAATTCCTTTCGAAATCCAGCTTGCTCGACTGGTTGCGCCTCATCTAATTTCCTTGATATGCGCGAGAAGATAATCTTCGTGAAGATCTTGTAGAGTACACTTAAGCATATGGGACGATAGTTACGAAGATCCCTTCGGTCTCCTTACTTGTGCAGGATGACCGTGCGCGACGTCCTCCACTGGTCTGGGATTTTTTCCTTTTGAAGTAGCCTGTCATATGATCTGCGAGAAGTACATGTAAATTGTGGCCTCCAGCTCTAAGGAAATCGGCAGTGATATTATCGTGTTCTGGAGCTGTGCCTCTTTTCATGCTTTCTATCGCAGCACGAACCTCCGAGGGAAGAATTCCAGGTGGTTTTTCTTCAGCGGGGATATTAGGGCCCGGGCAGGGGATTGTGGAACGGAAAAGGTTGTTGTAGAACGTTTCCGCTATTAATTCCACAACATGGCAGGAAGTTTTGACCATGCCATCTTTGTATTTTTGTTGAGCAAACGCGAGGTGTTATTATTCTTTGTTCACGATTAAGCTGACGTTTCGGCGGATTTCGCCTTCCTCAGATCCACTTCCTATGAGGTTTCCACTAAGTATGTCACGTAGAGACCAACTGCACAGAAATTTCTGGTCTTTGATTTAAAAAATTTAGAAATTTGGTACCGGATTTTTGTGCGGTTGGTCTCTCTACGTGACATAGTTAGTGGAAACCTCATAGGAAGCGGCTCTGAGGAAGGCGAAATCCGCCGAAACGTCATCTTAATCGTGAACAAAGAATAATAACACCTCGCGTTTGCTCAACAAAAATACGAAGAAAATTACTTGATCAATGCCGAGGTTAATAGAAAGTCGGTCGTGGCAGTTACTGCAAGATGTATCAGCATGCCATCTTTGTCGATTAGGGCTGACAGCGGAACATTATAATCGCACAAGTCCCGACGGCGTTTTCTCAGACTGCTTCTTTTCTCTGCTGCTTCCAGTAGTTTTCTCTACTTGTAGCGTTATAGATCTTTCTGCAAAGTCCTACTACTACTGGCACTTATTACTAGCCATGTTAAGCGTGTTGCAGTACGATCAAGCTTCAGTTTCCTTTTCTTTTCAAGAAACTTCTTAGTATTGATGGAGAAGCCATTCGATCTTCTTGCTTGAGGAACTAAGGCGAATTCGGCACAGCTTTTTAATTCTTTGACAAGCAGCTCGTAGTCCTCGGTCGGGTCTTCTTTAATCTGTCAGTCGCGTTTGGGTAGGACTTCGTTCAGAATATTCTCATTGTAGACAGCGAGACTTTTTCCTCGTGGCCGATGATGAGAGTTTTCTTCCAGCTTCCGGCTGAATCGAATCATCGCGCGAAGGAGGCGGTGATCAGAACCAGAAGAGAATGACGGCACTACCAATGTGTCAAGTAGGCATCATCTTCTGTTTGTCAGAATATGGTCGATCACCGCATGGGTCATGCCGTTGGGAGACTCCCATGTCCAGCGGCGGCTTTTTCTCTTCAGGAAAAACGAGTATCCATGGAAGAGACGTGTTGCTGATAGGAGTCCTGCGAGACGGTTCCCATTCTTATTTCTTCTCCTAATCCAAATTTTCCGACCCTGTATTCGCTGTCGTTGGGCTTTCCTATTCTGACCTTGAAGTCTCCGACAACAAATTTATGATATGCTTTATGATTGCGGATGATTTCTTTCAACTGATAATAGAACGCATTTAATTCGTATTCATCAACTGCGTCGGTCGGTGAGTAGCAGTTGTTGATAGTGATCTTCTTATGATGAGACAGTTGAAGACGGAGGACGGCTATGCGAGGGGAAAGGATCTCGTATGAGTCGACGAAATGGACAATGGACGGGTGGACGACAAAGCCTACGCCACTGACATTTCGTAGCGGGACCTTTTCTCCGCGGATCACAAGGGTCCCGTTGTTTAGTTGGCCTATGTCGGTGGCGTATTTTTGTTTCTTGTAATGCGATCACATGAAATTTAATTCGATCTGCGGCTACAAGAAGGGCGTGAAGATCGGCGTCTGAGGAGAGTGTTCTGGTATTATACGTGCATAGTAAGAAGTAATCTCCATGGCGTGTCGTGCATGTGTTCGTGAGATCCGGTTCCAATGACGTCCTACGTAACCCGAGATTTTCTGGCCTCTCACCGGTCGTCTCACCATCATAGACGGGAGCACCCAGTGTGCGGGGTACTGAGGCTTGCCTCTTGCTGGATGTGTAATTTGACTTTCCATGAAGTCGTGGCTTAAGTTCGTTAAGGCGTATCCAGGTCATCACCACAATGTGGCTCCGAGGGAGGGATGTTTTCGGCGACGAATCCTAGGCTCGGCCTTTCCACTAGTTGATTCGGAGGCGATATTAAAACCAAAGCGAGAAACGGAAGTGGGAACGAAAAGATAATCGTCCGATGAAGGACGCTGTAGAAACCCAATGTATTAATTAGCTATTCAAAGCACAGTGGCGCGAATAGTACAATGGTTAAAGTTGCTCTGGAATGTACATGTGTTCAATTCGACGATCCAAGGTGTGGAAACCTTCCAGCCCCACTGGGTCGGCAAGTTGGTACCAGAGTTGTCTGGAAGGATAGCAGCACTAGCTCGATTTGTCGATAGGCCACCGCGAGTCATTGTAAAGGCCAGATATGCATTCAGTCACCTCCAAATGGTGATCAATATGTTAGAATGCATGGTGCATCCCGCAGAGATCGATCAACGCCGAGAGCTTTATTCTTTTTTCTGTTATTCGAAACAGTGGCCACTAGCCTTGAGTCTCAAATGGTGGCATTGAGTTGAAGCTGAATTGAATTTTTTTCGCATGTGTGTTAAAAGAAACAAGAAGATTGTGAGATGTCACGGCGAGGAAGGGAATAATAACGGATGAGAAGAAACCAAACGGTGCCATTAGGTGAATTCTAACTGATATTGGCTTCTTAGAAACACATGATTAGGCGTCCAGTTAAGAATAACTATAGTTTGGACCTTAAGCCAAAGTGTAAAAATTTTACCTAGCAATAAATGATTTCGAAAAACAATGCTTAAATATTCTTCCCATACGACTCAAAAACATGGAAGATTGGAATTTGCATTGAAAGCAATCATACACTTGCTCCATTTGCAATGTGTATTACGATATTTATATTTCGTGAGATATTATGTGAGCAGAGCTCGCATGTAGCAGTTAGTGAGGTCTTACAGTATATACGGGTTATTGGGAAACTGGGTGGATTCTCTGGAAGGACTAAAAGATCGACCAGAGACATCTATAGGCCTCATAAACTCTTTATGTTGATCAATTATGTATTCATTTAAGTTTAAGGCAATTAGATGAGCCGATTGAATAGTGCATTGCTTAGAGACTGGTCGTGCAACTTAGTCCTCCCTGGAGTCCTAACGTAACTTTGCAAGGGCGTATCCAGGTCTTCACCACGATGTGGATCTCGGCGACGAATCCTTCACTCGGTCTTCCTTCCAGTTGATTCGGAGAGATTTTTAGGTTGAAATCAGAAAGAAAGTAGGAATTAAAGAGTAACCCATCGCTCAAGGACTATGTAGAAGCCGAATCCGCAAGCTATACAAGTCTACCAACATGGTAAACGTAGTAAAAGAAATGGACCTCATTTCCCTGACCCGAACGAGCTTCTGATTTGACAGCGTTGGCTAGGACGAGTACAGAGAGGCTACTGAAATCTCAGGACCGTCCTAAGCTACCTGAATCGCAAAGGACTAAGGTGACTAAGACGGTTCGTACCTACAATGCGTGCATACTTGCATCGGAGTCCTCGATAGAAGACTTGGTCATGCAAGCAAGAAGAATAAGGTACGATGTCATCGGCCTGGCCGAAACGAGACGGCGCCATCAATTCAACGCCGTCTGTGACACCGGAGAAGAACTGTTCCTCGGAACATGGGGCAGTAGAGGAGTCGGCGGCGTCGTCTTTCTCGTCAATCGTCAACACGACTTCGTCCACGAATATCGATTCATTCGAACAAATTACAATTCGACTCGGACGTTTATGATTGAAGAAATGTGGATCAATACCCGATTTGACAAACTTCGACGTTTACGCATCGACAACAAGCTATGATGAAGAAGAAATCAAAGCGTTCCATACGGATTTGGAGAAATTTTACAGAAAAGACCATGCATTCTTTAAGGTCACCATTGGAAATTTTAACGCTAAGAATGGACTAAGAAGAACGTCACATTGCGACCAATAGATTTGAATGAACGAACAGTGTGAGCAGCTCTCTCAGTTTATCGTGACGATCAAGATCCATGGTAACTCGCAATTCCGAAAGTCGCACCTTCAACGCTTGACGTGGGAATCTCCCAATGGAGAGTACCAAAACGAAATAGACCACAACATAGTAAATAGAAGGTTTTGCCTAACCGATGTCGCTGTTATCTCAAAATTCAACACGGGATCAGCTCATCGCTTCCTTCGCACAAGATTCTATTTCTCGCGGAAAGGAGAAAAAGCAGCTATATTCAAAAACCACAGTTCCAGAGCCACCATAAACTAGGATTTGTACAATTCATTAGTCGGTTGTTGGGAAGATGCGGTTATCGATAACATCGACAAGGCATACGATCGGCTTATTCAACATCTTCACGTTAGCGCTGTGAAAACTCAGAGCTCGATAGTCACCAAGAGACATCTGTTTCCAGAGACACTTGAGCTGATACACCAATGTGGAATTGTGTGTGCTACAGGCAACCGCGAACTAACGTCCGAACTTGCAAAACAATGCAGAAAGGCGATGAAAGAAGATCTTAAAGAAAGAAGAGCAACAATAATAGTCGAAGCTGCAGAGGGTGTGGAAAAGCATTCGTAAGGCCCACCGAAGCTTCGCCTGTTACAAGACCGAGACGGTTGCACTCCGACGCCCAGACGGAACAGTAACAGTGTCCAGAAAGGCAATAGAGGAAATCGTTTTACGAATACTACTCAGATCTCTTCGATAGCCACGTCCGCCTTCCGTCATATCAAATAAAGAAGGATGGATATGTTGTACCACCGGTTTTTTCTTCCGAAATCCGACATACCATTTCGTCGGTGAAAAATCGAACGCCACTAGGTCCGATAGGGATAAGATCTGAACTCGCAAAGAGCCTTGTGCCAGTCTTCGTAAACACACTGGCTCCGCTGTTCATACGTCACCTGTCTGAATGCAAGGTCCCTACTGAATGGCAAACCAGCAAGACCGTACTATTGTTCAAGAAAGGCCATGTCATTTGAACATTGGAGTGGGGCTGCGTGAGAGTGAAAATCTATGGTCGGCAATTACACCATCTTCGTCTTGCTGATAACATCGTCCTTATAACATTAAACATTAGGAAGCGAGCTTTCAAGAGCATCGAGGACCTGGTGAAGAGAACAAAGAACACCCGACTCCGTGTCCATCTTTTCGACTCAACGGTACTTCCTGCGTTAGCGTATGCGTCAGAAACCTGGTCGCTGCGTAAGCAGGATGAAAGGTCGCTCAGCGTTATTGAACGCGCAGTCAATAGGACGATGCTAGGAGTATCCCGTTTCACACAAGTAAGGGATGGGATCCGAAGCTTCGATCTGCGTCAGCGATCAAGAATCAAAGATGCCGTTCTGTACGCCAGAGAGTCGAAGATAAGGTGTGCCGGAGACGTAATGCGTTTGAATGACAGCCGATGGACAAGAGTTGTTAGTGACTGGATTCCTCGGGATGTCAAACGCACTGCAGTAAGGCCACCGACTCCATTTCGGAGTTCTTCAAGAAAAGCCTAGAAGGAAGATATAATGTATATATGTTATGCTCAACGAGTCCTTCGAGAGAGCAAAACCCACTGGGTTACTCTTGAATGCGACAGGGAAAAGTGGAATATTTACTTGAACCGGCTCGAGTCACTCGACGATCAACGGGATTAGGTGATATATGTGATAAGCGTTCATGTGTCCTCCAGGGTTAGCAGCTCGCGCGCTAAGCTGGTCTGGGAGGATAGCAACACTTATCTGATACAGCAGTAGCCCTCCGCAAGTCATTGTATAGGTATTGCATTCAATCACCTCTAACGACACTTAATGAAGTCGAATGCATGGCGCCTAATTTAGGGATTGTGAGTTCCAAACGCTTTATCCTTTTATTTGTAATAATTTTTATGTAGGCTTTATTACTACTTATGAGAATTACGTACAAACTTACGAAAAATTGGAGAATTTCTTGTGTTTAAAAGTGTTCCTTCTCGTGAAAGAAATTATTGTAGAACTTCGTTGCGAAACAGTGAGATGTCCATCGCAGGTATTCGACGAGGACGAAGGTGTAGAGTGTCCAGCGGATAGTGTACGTCCAGCGGAACACGTACCACATGGCCTCTGTTGCCCAGTTCGGCCTGGGTAATTCTTCAAACTATTTCTTTCGTTTGTATGAAATAAATCGTTTTATCACAGTACTATGTATTTGTTGAAAAAGTCGAAGAATTCATTGTTTGTTGACATCGAAACTTATTTAGATGCCGCTGTCGCGCCGCCGTATGTCGTCCGGCCGTCTGCGAGGAAGGGAAACGTTTGCACATAATCCGTAAAGGTACAGGAACTCCAGGACGATGTTGTGATGAGTGGACATGCGAGGACGATCTACAACCTCTGGTACATAATAGAACTGTTGAATTCCCATTATGACCACCCACTTTTCTGCAGAATTCTTAAAAAGTGCGCTTTTTTAATAACCAGTAGGGTTTTTTGAGCTTTAGTTTTGGACAGTATGGCTGCTCAAGTGACTTGCCAGAAGAGAAGCTTTGAATACTCCATTTGTTTTTAGAGTGTTTAAAAATTGATTGACGTCTTATTTGATTTTATATTATCGTATTAATTATCCGGCACACTAGAAGATATACTATTTAAAGAAATGAATAACGTAAACGTTTAGTCGAAATCATGCATCCGTGATGGGAAGACATATTCGGATGGTCAGGAATGGCATACCTCATCGTGTGAGGTCTGTCGATGTAAAAAAGGAGTTGCGGTGTGCAGTAAGATGACGTGCCCGAAAACACCTGGTAAGATCTTTTTTTGTACTGAAAAAAACTGGCTGAGAGACGGGCGAAATGAAGGACCCGCATGGTGTGGTGGTGAACGCTTTAGACCCCGCAAAGGGTAACAGCGTGTTCGATCCCCACTGCAGACACGTTCCATCCGAAGTTTCGCAAACATCTCAGCTTCACTGTCGTTGATTTCTGCTTTATAGTTCACGTTTTTTGTCGTTTGAAGTAAATCAGACTCCTAATTTTTTTGAATCTATGACGTAATAGGAAAAGTTAATGGTGAATCTTTTTCAGTATATTTACTTGGACGTACGGTATAGCACAAAACGCTTGAAATATGGAAAAGATTTTTAAAATTTCTCTATTACCATAGATTTGTAGTCGGGATGGGACCAGTTCATGACTTTAATTGCATCTCAAATTCTCCTGTAGAATGAAAATCCATCTGTGTACACCATGAATTAATTTTTGAGAAAATATAAACGAGATCCTACTCCCTTCTTCTCTCTTCTATAGATTCTTTAAGCACAATGTTCATGGATTGTGATTCCGGAGGGCGAGTGCTGTCCGATTTGTGTCGGATGCCAGACAGAAAAGTTAGAAAAGAAGATGAAAAATGAGACATGGCAGAAGGATGATTGTACAACGTATGTATTCCTTTTCAGTTTTGCTTTCGTTATTGTTCTTGTATTTTATAGAATAACCATTATCCAGACACCATTTTTGGAATAAAACTATCTAAAAAATAATATAAAAGTTGGATTTCAGTTGCACTTGTTCTGAATCTGGGACATCCATATGCGTGAAGCACATGTGTCGTACCGAATGCGAGAATCCACGTAAAGTAGAAGGACAGTGCTGTCCTGTGTGTGATGGTTAGTTCACTGGTGTCGCACCAATCAATAATGCTTAACTTTTTCTATGTGTTGACACTTGCTTTGAATACCATATGCAAGTCTGCAGAAGTAGTTTCCTTAGAGTAGTTGACTGCTGCTTGATTAATAGATTTTGCATCTTATAACAGCATATTAGGGCGCGGTTAGCACAGAGGTAGTAGTGCTGTTCGTCATCATGAGCATGGTTCTAGTTCGATTCCGCGCAGGCCAACCAAGCTTCTCATCCCTCCGAGGTCGGGAAATTGGTACCGGACTTGTCTGGGAGAAAATCACTTTCTGCAATCCAGTTGGGAGCGCTCCAGCCCAGCTATCTCAGCACTCCAGGGAGAACTGCTCGACCAGAATTCTACGACATTCAAGATGAAATGAAAATCCTCAAGCAGCATCCGAAGCAGTACATGAAAGCTGAAAGATCTTCGTGGACATCGGATGTGAGGAAACGAATCGAATTTGAGAAATGCTAAGACCCGCACAGTAGACGCGAAGACGCTTCATATAAGAAAAAACTGCACATTCAAAATACTGTCTATCCTTTAAAGACCTATAAACATTCCCAATTTCTGAATTCTTGTGAAGCATTCGTTTTCAATCAATGTTCATTTAACTTCAATGATGCTGAGATATTTGCAAAACTCCGGACCGCAGGTGTCTGCAGTAGGCTGGCGTGTTGAATGCGTTACTATCCGGAAAGGACAATAGCGCGTTCGCTTCCCATCGCAAACACCTACGGTCCAGAATTTTGCAAATACCTCAGCATCACTGAAATTATATTTCGAAATATACCCTGCCATTAAAAAGAGCAGGCAGTAAATAATGAGTTAAAAGTGTTTATTTATTTATTTTTTGCTCCAATGGGGTTTGAAAAATTCTACTACTTAACTGGCTTGTATTATATAAGTTACTGAAGAAATGCATCTTCTGAATCTAATAATATTCAGAGCCATTGCTGTTGACGATGCCAGTGGCTTGTCCTTCAATCGAGCACTGTCCTTTACGATGTGAAGCCGGCCTTCAACGGGACGAACGTGGTTGCTTCCAGTGCGAATGTGTGCCATCTACTCGACCTGACCGATGTCCAGAACTTTCTGAGCATAATTGTGACAAGTGAGTGACAAAAAAAACGGCGAGTAGTGCTGTGGAAGTGGTGCCGATCATCATGAGCACGGTGCTGGTTAGACTTCACCTCGGGATCATTACCTCACCTCTCTTCTCTCCGCGGTTGGAAAATTTGTAGCAGACTTATCTAGCTCACTGTATGCAATCCAGATGGAAACGGTCTAGCCAGTTTACTTCAAGGTTACAAGGAAATTTGACGCGACTAGCGTTCAACGTTCAAGACGTTCGCTGGTCATGGATGTGAGGAAACGAATAGAATGCATTGCTAGGATTCACAGTAGATGTGAAAGACGAGTCGTGTAAAAAAAGTAATTAGAAACAAGCGGGGCAAAACAAAATGAAATACTTGAAATTGATAGGAGTACGGAGGATCAAAACACTTCTCTCTATTTGACGGATCGTTGCATCTAATTGTTATTAAGCGAACTAGTTTGAAGTGACAAGAAACGGTTTTCTAAACGATTGATGTGCGAACGAAATTTGAGCACGTATAAGGCAGAGCTGATTAGATCTCGGTGTAAAATATTTCGAGTGTAGTGTCAGAGACAGTTCAATAAAAAGATTTTTACCTAATAGACTGGGAGACCCTCCTAACGATTTACCGCCTCATCGTGGCTGGGAGGTGTTCCTGGGTGCCGAACTGCGATGTACAGATGGGGGTCCATCCTCCAGGCAGGGTCTTCCAAGCTGAGAAGGAGTCTGGCGGTTCCATCAGAAAGACTAGCTAAGAGTAAACCAATACCAGGACCCTCCACCGTCTTGGTGTCAAGGTCGCATGGTGGCAAATTTCCCTCTGATCCACAAAGGCTGCGACTGCTTGTGGTGTTGAAGACTTGTGCAGACTTTGGCTAGACTAACCTCGGGATTCCAGGAAACCACAGTGGCTTAACCAGCAAATCTCCGAGAAATGGTGATTATGTTGGGGCCCACACAACCAGTGAGGGCAGGCCATTTAAGTATCAAGTAAGTAAGACTGGAGAACGCCTGTAGCGTAGTTGTTAGAGGTGCCTTGCGACACCGTGGTCTTCGATTCAATCCCACGCCCAGTGAAAACCTGGCCGTCTATCCATCCGACATAACCAAACTGGTTCAACTCCTCTTACGAGTTGTGAAAACACTGATTTAATTCATAGGTATCTCGTGGAAGTCGTTCTGTATGCTAAATGCAAATTCATTCATTCTCTACGATCTCATGAGAAGAGTGAAATGCCGCATATAATACATGGCGCATCCATAGGGTGCAGATCAACACTGAACACTTTATCCTTTTATCACTAGAGCTGTATCAACTATATCACCTGTAGTCCCGCTAATCGTCGAGTGGCTCGAGCTGGCGCCAGTAAATCTTCCATTTTTCCCTATCGCTTGCAAATGTGCAGTGGGTTCTGCTCGCTCTAGGGACTCGTCGAGTCTCATATCCTTCTTCTAGGCTCTTCGTGAAGAACTCTGACCATCGAGTCGGTGGTCTTCCTGCAGTGCTTTTAACATCCCGAGGAGTTCAGTCACTAACGGCTATTGTCCATCGGTTGTCATTGATAAGTTTCCGGCCCACCTTATCTACGACTGCTTGGCGTATAGAACGGCATCCTTGATTTTTGATCGCTGACACAGGTAGGAGCTTCGGATCCTTTTTCTTACTTGTGGGAAACGGGATACTCCTAGCATCGTCCTTTCGACTGAGCGTTCAATAACGCTGAGCGAGCCTTCATCCTGCTTACGCAGCGACCAGGTTTCTAACGCATACGTTAGGGCAGGATGTACCGTTGAGTCGAAGACTTGGGAACGGAGTCGAGTGTTCTTTGTTTTCTTCACTACATCCCCGATGCTCTTGAAAGTTTTCCAAGCCGCTCGTTTCCTCCTGCTCAGTCAACTCTGGAGCTAAGTCGTTCAACGTGTTGATTTCCCAACCTAGACAGACATAACTGGAGCATTCGGAGTTATTCGTTCCGTTGAGCGTGAATGGGACATACGAAACTAATGCGCTAATCATGAGCATCGTTTTTGTGAGATTTAGTCGAAGACCAATCTTTTCGCAGGCTTTATCAAAGTTGTCAAGCATTCGTTCCGCTTGGCTAATGTTTGTTTTTATAAGGACGATGTCATCAGCAAAGTGAAGATGGCGTAACTGCCGACCACCGATTTCCATTCCTATATTATCCAATTTCAATGTTCGCATGACGTTCTGGAGGGTGGCGGCAAATAATTTAGGCGAGATTGTATCACCTTGCACTTACCCCTCTTTTGAAATCAATGATAAAATCGTTGTAGAATGGTGACATCTCGGTTGTAAATTTCTTGTACAGCTTACGAAGAATCTTTATGTAGTGAGTAGGGACTCCTTGACTATCAAGAGCTTCCATGACTGCTTCTATCTCAATTGAATCAAAGGCCTTCTGTAAATCGATGAAAGTGAGACAGAGCGGTCTCTTGTACTCTCACGATATTTCAGTGAGCCTTGTTATCTTGTGAATGTGGTCCATTGTAGTAAATCCTTTTCGAAACCCTGCTTGCTCACATGGCTGTCCTTCGTCCAATGCTCTGTTAATCCTGTTTAGGATGACTCGAGTGAAAAGTTTGTGGACGACGGACAACAAGCAGATTGGGCGATAATCGCCGATATCGTGTAGGTCACCCTTTTTGAACAATAGCACAGTCTTGCTGTTCTTCCACTGATCAGGGACCTTACATTCAGACAGGCAACATGTGAAGAACCGAGCCAGTGTGTTCACGAGGACTGCGGAAGGTTCTTCAGGTTTTCTGGTCTTATCTTGTCCGGACCTGGTGCTCTTCGTTTTTTCATCGACGAAGTGGCATGTCGGTTTTCGGAAGGGAGAACCGGTGGTACAACATATCCATCCTTATTTATTTCATATGACGGAAGGTAGACGTGGCTATCGAAGAGATCTGAGTAGTATTCGTGGAACGAGTTTCTCTGTTGCCTTTCTGGACACTGTTACTGTTCCGTCTGGGCGTCGAAGTGCAATCGTCTCGGTCTTGTAACAGGTGAAGCTTCGGTGGGCCTTGCGAATGCATTTCCCCACCCTCTGCAGCTTCGACTGTTATTGCTACTCTCCTTTCTTTAAGATGTTCTTTCATCGCCATTTTGCATTGTTTTGCAAGTTCGGACGTTAGTTCGCGGTTGCCTGTAGCACGCGCGATTCCACACTGGCGTATCAGCTCGAATGTTTCTGGAGACGACGTCTCTTGGTGACTATCGAGCTCTGAGCTTTCACAGCGCTAACGTGAAGATGTTGAATAAGCCGATCGTATTTTTCGTCGATATTATCGACAACGGGATCTTTCTAGCAGCGGACTAATGAATTAAATAAGTCCCAGTTTTTCGTGGTTTTGCGACTTCGGTTTTTGAATCTAGCGGCTTTTCCTCCTTTCCGCGAGATATAGAATCTTGTGTGAAGGGTGCGATGGGCTGATCCCGTTTAGAATTTTGGGACAACTACAACATCGGTTAGGCCATCGGTTCTATTTACTATGATGTGGTCTATTTCGTTATGGTACTCTCCATTGGGAGATTCCCACGTCAAGCGTTGAAGGTGGGGCTTTTGGAATTGCGAGTTACCATGGATCTTGTTCGTCACGATAAACTGAGAGAGCTGCTCACACTTTTTGTTCAGTTCTAATCCATGGGTCCCAATGTGGCGTTTTTGAGACGTTCCTCTTGGTCCAATTTTGGTGTTAAAATCTCCAATGATAACTTTTAAGAATGTATGGTCTTTTCTGTTAAACTTCTCCAAGTCCATATAGAATGCTTCGACTTCTTCTTCGTCATAGTTTGATGTCGGCGCGTAAACGACGAAGATTGTCAAATCCGGTATTCATCCACTTTTCTTCAATCGTTAAAGTAGGATTCGGATCGTTAGTTGCTTGAAAGAATCGACATTAATAGCCAAACTCATGTTGACTAGAACGCCGTTGCCACCGACTCTACTGTTGCGTGTTCCGAGGAACAGTTCACCTCCGGTGTCATAGACGACCTTGAATTGGTGGTGTCGTCTCCACTCGCCCAGGTCGAAGACGTCGTACCTTGTCCTTCTTGCTTGCATGAGCAAGTCTTCTATCAAAGACTCGGATCATTAGAAGTAACCACTCAAATTGCAAGACATAGTGAAGTGACTTGCAGAAAGAACTTTTATGCAGGGTCTTTTCTCTGTACATACTTCATCTATTTTATTTAAGACAATGTGCACACGGTTATTTGAACGATGCAAGCGGCTGTGTAGTTTGTAAATGTGCGAAGTGTCCGCCTTTGCACCAGTGCATGAAGCATTGCCTCTACGGCTACGAGACGAACTCGGTTGGATGTCCGGTCTGTAAATGCAGTGGTAAGTAAACCATTTAGAGCACTACGGTGCGATTCAACATTGTCAATATGAAATTTCTTTTTCGACGTAGGATGGGTATCTTTTAGAACCTTTTTTTAGATAAGTGTTAGAAGTCCTTTGCCCTTCGGGCTTTTTTTTGCTTTTTTCTTCAGATTTCGATGACTTCATGAGCAAAAAAAGTCTCGATATTTTTGTTGAACAAATACGAAGTGTTACTTTATTCTTTATTCCGTTGAAGCTGATATTTCGGCGGATTTCGCCTTCGACAGAGCCTGGGAAGGTCAAGTTGACAGCAAGCTACCCGGCCAAGCACCATTACCAAACAGAGAAAACGCTAAACCAAGATTTTGATCACATTGAACACAGAATAGCTTCTTTGCAAACTCACCGCTTTCTATGAATCATCCACAGAGTATGTCGTGTGGATACTAACTACTTAGAATTTGCATGGAAGCGTAATGTGCCCCTCCGATCAGCATAACAGGCTTATATACTGTCCAATATCACGCGTGATAATAAGGCATTCTTCACTGTGGTTCATTTTCAGATTTCTGGAATTAATCCAGAATACCTCGACGGTTTTGCGCACTTGTGTTCTCGATTCCTGTGCGAGGAACGTGACCCGTACTTTAAAGTCCTTCTCATTATGTCTCTGGGTCCCGTGCGTGCCTAGTGGGGTATTTGGTTGACGTTTGCCGGCTAAGTGTTCTTTTATGCGGACACAGTGGTCAACCCATTTCGCCAATGTATTCGTCTCTGTACGCCTTACAGGAGATCAGATAAACTGTAGCCGAGCTCATGCAATCACCGTATCTACAATGAGGGCAAATTATGCAATTTTGCGTTGCACATAGACCGTCGTATAGGAGGTTACGAACTACCGGGCACCTAAGAGTACTGGGTGGCATTTCAACTGCGTTTACCGAATTCTCTAAACCCGCTCTTCTTAAGCAACGTTTAGTAGCTGCATTTACATCATTTGAGATGAAAGGTAGGATAAAGAGAACCTTTTTATCGCTAGAGTTGTCGTTTGAAGGCCTAAGATTTTCCCTATACCTATCCCGAGTTACAGTTTCGTAGCCATTGGAAATGGCTATTTGCCGCGCCAAGTTCCGGGACTCCTCTCTCTGCCCTCTTCCCGTGCACACTTTGGTTACTATTCGAAGCATGTTTCTTATAAGCGCCCTTTTCGTGTGAGGGGGATGAGAGGAGAGGTAATAAACCAAGATGTTTTTACTACTTGGCTTTCGGTATGACTTCGTAATGTAACTATTTTTTGACAGGTTAATTTGGACGTTCAGGAATAGAAGTCTGTTTTCTTTCCGTTTCTTTGCGGGGAACTTGATATACTCTGACTGTTCATTCAATATCTCGAAACATTTGTCCATTTCCTTTTGTGTTTTGCAATGGACAAAACAGTCGTCCATATATCTAGAGTAGAGTAGCGGCCCGAGATCGGTTCCCGGTGTTTAGACATAAATACAATGGCAATAACTGGCGCCAGTCGCTGTCCCATTGCCAACACTCTTATTTGAGCATAGTACTTTCCGGACCATCTGAAGATTGAGCAACTCAAGCATTCTTTTAAGAGTGCCGTCAACTTCTCTATCTTGGAGCCATACATGTTTATTTCTGCTTCTTGTTGTACAAGGAGTTCGAATACGGCTTATATTGTGGAGTCATTCGACACGTTTGTATAAAGGGCGGTAACGTCGAAGGACTCCATCACGCACGAGTTATTAGGAGACGCGTTACGTAGACGTTCTAGGAGCATTTGGGTGTTTGTGAAGTGAGCTAGAATGTGCTTCAGCAACTGGGTAAGTGCTAGGCTTAAAAACCACGTTATGCTATCCGTTGGCCCGTCTACACAGCTAATGATTGGTGTAACCTTAAATAACGCTGGACCGGTTGACCCAAGTTCACCGGTGGATATTAACAGAAGATCGGTAGACGCAAGATCATCGCTGGTTACTAACTTATGAGTTTTTATAAGCAAGTACAAGACGGGATATGTTGGTAAGTCAACTTTTAGGTGAGAGATAACTGACAGTTTGAAACCAGCAGCCTTTGCCATTTTAACTCATTCGTGGTTCAATTTTCGGTATTTGCTTTTAAACTCCTCAGATGCTCGGCGATAAAGTGAAGCATCTTCGAGATGCTTTTTCGTTATCTCAATATCTAAATGATGGAGAATTACGACAATCTCTCGACCCTTAACACTAACGGATAGTCTTATGTTTTCAACCTTATCAGCTCTCGTACCTCTCGCATACCACGTTTTTGCACTTCGGTGGAGTTGGAGCTGTTTTGAAAGCTTCATTGGTAAACAACCGGAATTTAATATCAACTTCATTGAGCTCTTGTTGTTTAAAGAACGGATGAGGAAATGGTGCTATTGGTAGGGCCCCACTTGGTGTCGTTCGCACCTTTGTTTTCCATTTCATCTCTAGCTTTTTTGCGTCTGTCTATCGTTAGCACACTTAAAAAAAGTCTGCCTAAGTCCATCTTCGGAGAAAATTGAAAAGTTTTAAAACTCATTTGAACGGTTTTAAGCATTTAATGTCGACTTATCACTGTAATAAATTCGTAGGGTCTCTTATGTATAGATAGATTCGAAAAATTACTTCTATATTTTTTCATTAATTTTGTCAATGTTTTCAGTATTCTCGGTCGTCGTTCATCTTAATGTTCGATGATTTAGTAATATTGATGATAGCTGTGCGCTAACGATAGCATGTGGTTTTTGAACAAAAAAGAAGAAAAGTATATACATGCAGGAATAAATCACCTCCAACGATGATTAATGAAGTCGAGTGTATGGCGCATCTCTCAGGAATTGATCAACGCCGAGAGCGTTATCCTTCATATATATATATATATATATATATGTACAGCATGGAAAATAATAGATTAATCAGTCTTAGAATTGTTTACACACAGAAACGACTTCTAAAAGACGAACTTAATATGTGTTTGAAAGAAAAAAAAGAAATGAAAACTAAAGTGGGATAGAGAAGAGGAGGCCTTACGATTATTTCTTTTTCCATCGAGCAGATTAGTGCGAAATTCCTTGAATTTTTTTGAAAGTAGTGTCTTAGCTTAAAATTTGCCTTATTCCACTTTTTATTCCACTGTTCCATTCAATTTGACACTTTTTGAATTGCACATTTTTTTGGCGATTTCTTGAGCAATTGCTTGGTCATTATTTAGAGCGGATTTCTTCACATTCTGCTTTAGTAACTCAAAAGACCGACTTTCTAGAAACTTCGGCATAGATAGTTGTTATATTTATTTATATGATCTTATAAACTGATCTTCTTTAGCTGATTCGAGGTTGGTGTAGGTCTTCGTTGTCGTTGTCGTTGTTGTTGGTGTTGTTGGTCGATGGCTGACGTTTCGGCGATTTCGCCTTCCTCGGAGCCGTGATGTTACGAGTGGGAGGTGAGATATGAGTCGAAGACCTGTACCAACCTCGCATCAGTTAAAGAAGATTAGTTTATAGGATCATATAAATAAATATATTCTGCTTTAAATTTGCTTTCTCGCGTTTTTTACAAGCTTACGGTAAAGAAAATGTGAACAGCAAAGAGTGAAAGGTTGGAATAAATTATTAAAATTTATTCCGAGTCTTGTTGTGGTGGCTTACGTGGGACTCATTTAGTGTGAGTGTATTAGAATACAAACGTCGAAGCTGAAAACAGTAAAATTAACAGTTGTTAGTACTATTAGTCAATACTTTTGTACCAACTTGATACTATCTTGCATACAGGTTCTAGTTTATTGCTGGCATTTATAGACGAATTCGAGTGGTTTGCAGCAATTTCACGAATTGAAGCAAAATTGACTATTCCGGAGAAGATTGGGCGTTTAGCCGGATGGGACAAATGTCTTTCGCTGAACAGTGGCTCGGGCGTCGTCGTCGAACGTGACGCCGGCGAATGGTGGAGCGACGGATGTCGCCATTGCTTCTGCGAACAGAAACAGGTTCGTACCTAACCCAGGATGGATAAGCGTACTTCATGATTTTGTATCGATTCGGATGTTCAGGTATTCTGCTCGTTGATTTCATGTGCTCCTCGTCCTGACGATTGTGCTGAAGAGAATTGGACTCAACAGGAAGGTCAGGTTTGGGACTTATGCGTGTTTTTGAGCAAAACAACCTTCGGAGTGTTCCAAAAATTTTTCTATCTTATCTTGAATTTTCCAAAATTGGCTTGAAGATTGGCTTTCCTTGTGAAATATAATCACAGTGATCCTGAGATATTTGCAAAACTCCGGACCACAGGTATATCACAAAGCAGATGCAGACACCTGCGGTCCGGAGTTTTGCGAATATCTCAGCATCATTGTGTTTATATGTATTTCACATCACACCCTGCCATCAAAAAAAGAATAGGCAGTACATAAAAAGTGATTACATCTTGCTTTATTTTCAACCTTTTCAACTGCTGCCGGTATAGGGTCAAAACTGTCGTTCTTCTTTTCCGGAAACCTCCTCCGTTTTTAGAGAAATTCATTTTTATATAACGTTTTTATTGAAACGTGGCAGTGATCGATGACTAAACTCCCAAATGCACGGTGAGAATTCAGGAGCTTGTTGTCCATCCTGTGTGACCACGTCGCAAAAACCAGTGCTCGCTTCGAAGCACGAATACACTGTATGTCAGTCACCGGGTTCCGGTCGAATATTTATAGGTGAGAAGTCCGTTGAATATTCCTACTTCCATTTGCATCTATAATTTACACATAACTCTTGCGCAACCAGGCTTTTTTACTATCATGCAGCCATACTGCTAATTCCTAAACATTCTTACTCTTCTAGCCGACTTTTGCGGCTGTCACAATTTTCAGCTCCTTCGGTTACCATAGTAGAAAAAGTTTGTAGGCTGCCAAAAATTGGTACTTTCTTTTAGTTCGGTCACTGAAAATAATGGCAGGGCGTTTTATGTAAAGCATAAGGATAGAGCATTTAGTGTTAAACAAACTATAAGCTGTACAGCAAGCCTTCGACTGCACTAAGCACGTCGAAGTCATCGATTTGTTTCCACACTTGGGCTGCTGTTTGCCATGGGTGTGGGTTTAAACCAACATCACATGTGTAGTTCAGAGTAACTCTAATCACTGCACCACATGCGTTCTTCAATGTTCGGTATATGGAAAAAAGTGTTGTATATCGTTCTGTTCTCAGCATATTTGATTTCAGACGGCGAAACATGGCAACTGGCGCCATGTGTGTCGTGTACTTGTCGTGTAGGTCACGTTCTATGTCGTGCCCTCGACTGTCCGCCCATCGCATGCCATCAACCCTTCATGCACCCAGACGACCAATGTTGTCCACGGTAGGGAAAAGTCTACCATGCTCACAACGCTGTAGTTGAAAAAACACAGTTCATTTAAGCCAACAATTTAATGGTGGTGCTCTTGCATATTGTTATTGTATTTCTAAACTGACAGGGCAGTTTATTGCAGATTTGTTGCATTAAGTGACCTATTTAGTATTAAATGGACGGATGGGATAGTGGTGATGCCAACCATCACGAATACGGTGCTGGTTCGATCCCGCTTCGGGTTTACCAAACCTCTCATCCCTCCAGGGTCGGGAAATTGGTGCCAGACTTGTCCGAAAAAAATCACTGTCTAAAATCCAATTGGAAACGCTCGAGCTCGGTTATCTCAGGGCTCCAAGGAGAATTGCTCAACCAGCATTCTAGTTCAGGATGAAATGAAGATGTTCAAGCAGCTACTGAAGGAACACGTAAAAGTTGGAAGACTTTCGTGGATGATGTATGCGAGAAAACGAATCGAATGCCAAAAGTGCTAGGATTCGCAGTTCAGTATGTAGGAAAGATGATTCGTATAGAAAAAACCAAGGGAAAATTAACATTGATTTTCAAACCGATCGTCATTCAACTTTGGATTCGAGAGGTGCTCTACTGAAGAAGATTCGTCTCGGTACAACGGTGAAGATGCGACCTCGAGAAGATGAAGAACTGTGGGCCATTGAACTCGATCATCGGTTCTGATGAACACAAAAACCTCGATAAGTTAGCCGAATAGGACTTAAATAACAAGCTCGTGTAAACTTAACAATCCAAAAAGGTATTAGGTCTAATGTTGTTCAGAAATAAGTGAGCGTTTTTAACTAGATTATTTATAATGTCGTAACTTGCTTCAAACATAACTTTATTGATCAAAGTAAAAACCATTTGAATCTACACAGTTTTGCCAACAAGAAACAACTTCAATTATTCCAGTTACATAAAATTCTGTTGTTCTCAAAGCGATGAATTTGTTGAAGGCATTTTTTGCGTCATCGTGGTTGGTAAAGTATTTCTCGCCAGAAAGTTGTCAAAGTGCTTGAAGAAATAATAGTCGGTAGGCGAGAGGTCTGTTGAATACGGCGTATGAGGCAGAGTTTCGTACCCCAACTCGTTCAACTTCTGCAGCGCTGGTTCCACACGTGAAACCGGGTGTTGTCGTAGAGAAGGATTGGTCTTGCTGTTGACTAATGTGGGCCGTTGTTATTGGAGTTTACGGTGCATTTCGTCGATTTGTTAGCCATACTTCCCTTCCATAATCGTTTCGCTCTGACTTAAAAAGCTGTGATGAATCAGCCTGGCTTCAGACCACTAAACAGTTACCATAACTGCCACGACCGACTTTCTATTAACCTCGGCATTGATCAAGTGATTTTGTTCGTATTTTTTTGAGCAAACGCGAGGTGTTATTGTTCTTTGTTCACGATTAAGCTGACGTTTCGGCGAATTTCGCCTTCTTCAGAGCCTGGAAAGGTCAAGTTGATAGCAACCCACTCGGCCAGACGCCTCCATAACCAAACAAAGAAACCCCAAACCAAGATTTCAATTGAATTTTCAATTTGCTCAAAAAAATACGAACAAAGTTACCATAACTTTTTTGGTGCAATTTCGGCCTTGGGAAATTCTGTGGAGCCTAATCACTATCCAACCATTGAGCTGAACGTCGCCGGTTGTCGTACAGGATCCGCTTGTCGTCGCACTTCACATTTCGATCAAGAAAATGGTCGTTTTGTTCTCGCAGAATAACAACAGGCGGCCCTTCATAACCGCAGTTTTTTTGATTATCGTTTAATTCGTGCAACACTCACTTGTCGAGTTTTTTTTTGTCTTTCCTACGTGATTCAAGTGAGTGGAAATTGTTCCTGTGCTTACGCAAAACCGTTCTGCAAGCTGTCGAATAGTTGTTCGCGGGTTTGCTTTCACCTTCATTTCGTCGTCGTCAGGTTCGTTGAGACGTCCGTGGCCGTTCCTATCTTCGAGGTCAAAATCACGAAATTGGAATTTCCGGAACAATGTTCGCGCTGTTGATTCACCAACACAACTTTCATGCAAAACTTCATAGATGTTTCGAGCCGCCTCTGCTGCACTACGACCCAGTTTGAACTCGTAAGGGAAATGTTGACAAGAATTTGTATTTGGTTTCCAATTTTTTTTTGCAAATTTTTTTTGTATTGCGAAAATTTCAAAGCTCAAAATTGGTAAGAAAAGAATAACTCTTGACGAAAGATAAAGACATTGTTACAAAGAGCATAAAGTTAGCCTTCTAATGATATACAATATTGCAAGGTAGAAAGAAAATTGAAAAATGTATTAAAGTAATAAATACTTCGAAATGCCCATTTATTTCTGAACAACCTAATATTAAGTAACGCCTTCAGTGAGTTCGCCTTACTAAAATTCCACGATCATAGAAATCGCTGCCTCCTACCTGGAATGCTATTCGTCCGCAGCAAAGCTCCCTCCGATGAGCCAGCGAATGCATATGATGATGACTCTGGAACATCCTAACCCGAATGCTTTAGAATTCTAAGGAAAACAGCATTAGAACATTATTTGAGATATCAATGACAAGGGAAGGACTTTACGTCACCGAAACAAAGACGGATCACCTCACACACAGATCTTTCACACAGATCTGTTCACCTCTATCGTACTTTCGCTCTATTACCAAACAACGAAAAAAAGTGGAGGATGTGCTTGAACAGTACCCAAGTGTTCAGCACAAGCGGTGGCTCCTGCCTTCTATGTATGTTTGCGACTTTGCAACAACAATGATTTCATCACGTACCCACACGCAAGCCTGACCATTTGCATGGATGGCGAATTCGTCACAATATAACCAGTTGAAGTGCTTGAATCCACATAAGGTGAACATGAGGCAGTATCCATCTAACTAAGTACGTACAATGACCTGTGACGGTAATCAGATGTGTTAATCTACGCTGACATGTCTGTTCTTGATGTTTCCACCGACAGCTAGGGAAAATTGGTTTTATCGTAAAGGCAAACCGTATTTTTGTTTCCATTGTATGAATTGGATATTAATGAAGTGTAACGCGTTGTGATTATTAGTACACATTAATGTGTTTACACCGCCTTTACGAATAACCAGTTAACAAATCTGTTGCTTCCTGAGAATTGGAAAACACCGAAAACTCGGAAAAGACATCAAAACATTTCAAAAGTCTGGCAATATGAAGTATATATAGGGATTTCAGGAAAGGTAAAATTGACTTATCCATTTCTTTTAGGTGTCCGAACAACACGGAGATCACCGACACATCAGCGGTTTGTACAGACAACTACGGTACTGCTCATGTGGCTGGTTCGTTTATGATTACTCTGGTTTGTCATTGTTAAATACTGACTTGCCATAATTATATGTATATACGTGCACCTATATATATATATATATATATGTATATATACACGTATATATGTATTTACCACTCAACAGTTTACCATCTCATCGTGGCGGAGAGGTGTTCCTGGGTGTCGGCCTGCGTTGTACAGCGTGGGAATTCATCCCTCCGGCAAGGTCTCCCAAGCTGAGAAAGACTCTGACGTTTCCAACAGGACCTAGCTAAGAGTAAGGCAATACCAGGATCCACCACCGTTCTGTTACCAAATTAGTCGCGTGGTGGCAAATACCTCTCTGATAGACAAGGGGTGCGACTACCTGTGGTGGCGTCGACCTGGGGCAAACTTTGGCGAGGCTGACCTCGGGACTCTAAGAAACCACGATAGCTAGAACCAGCAAATATTCGAAAGAAAAGTATATATGGAGGTTATGCTGGGGGGCCGCACAATCAGTGATGACGGGCCATTTGAGCATCCAAGTAAATAAAAAATAAATTTGTATATATGTATGTGTGTTTATATATGTATATAAATGTATATATACGTATACATGTGTACATATGCATACGTGTATACACATTTACATACATATATATATATACACATACATATACATATATATGCGTATGCATATATATACATATATATATATATACATGTATATATATATGACGGATTTGAAAAGACGCGTGTGGCGCGGTGGTCGGAGGCCCCCTGTAACACTCATGGGATCGTTCCCCGCGCCACTGCCCCCCAAGCCCTCCATTCTTTCGAGGTGGGCAAATAGGTTCCAAACTTATCTGGGAGAATAGCAGCACTGGCTCGATACATCAGTAGGTCACCGCGAGTCATTGTAATGGCCAGATATGCATTCAATCATCTCCAACGATGCTTAATGAAGTAGAATGCATAGCGCATCTCTCAAGAATTGATAAACTCCGAGAGCTTTATACTCCATCCTTTATATATATATATATATATATGTATATATATATATATATGTATATGCATATATGTACATAGCTGTCTGTGACTGTTTCTCGGAAGAAAAAGTAAAATATAAAAGAAAAATTGGGGTTCAGTAAAATACTACCTTACGATTATTACGAAGAGCGCATGTTTATGGAATTAGATTGTTGTGAATACATTATTAGATATGGCTGAATGATGGTAGTTCATTTTCAGGTGCTTCATGGAGACCCGATGATTGCACATCTTGTGAGTGCAGCCTCGATGCTAAAGTGATCTGTTATCGTGAACAGTGTGATACAGACATCACCTGTCGTGGTAAACCGCTCACAATCAAAGGCCGATGTTGCCCTATTTGTGAAGGTAATTATCTAAATACTCAATCAGAAAAAAAATATCATTTAGCTTACGTGAATCTTTTGTTGGTAGCCAGTTTTTTCATTTCGCCGTCTCTTTAATTACTGGAAAAGAAGCGGGCCCACGTGACCGTATCTGTTCATGAGCATCGTAAGTAATGAAGAATTAATAGTAGGTCATGTGATGATACCTACTAATCTAGGTGGTATTATTATAATTCATTTTCTTGAAACACGTAGAGTTAGAGTTCTCAACCGTAGAATTCCCAATGAAAGGGAGATCTAGCTGAGAAGTAATTTGGTACTTTTTTTCCAAATTTTGTTTTTCCATCTAGTCACTTCATAGGAATCCTATCATCCTCTTCGACATTTTTCTAACTTCCACGTCAACAGCAATTCAGTATCATCGATTGCTACTCACCAACTTGTAGAGCTGACATGAGCAAACTGGATTCGTTCTACAACCATCTAGACGAAGTAATTCGCAACCGGAATTCCTATAAATTCGTAGTTGGAGAATTCAACACCAGATTAGGAATGGCCAAGGAAAATGAATAACGGACAGGAAAATTCGTAAGTGGCCATCGAAATGAGGGTGGAAATCGTCTTGTAGAACTTCTTTCTGTAGAACATTTCTTAGATAGGAATTCATTTTTTTTTCTTGGAAGGAGAAAATGCCATCAGACATGGGAATCTCCTAACGACACGACTTATGCGGAGATCGACTATATTTTATTAAAGAGAATACGGTGTCTCCTTGACAGCTCAATGCTACCTGGATTCTATACTGAACCTGATAACCGCCGTTTTCGTACGGAGACCAGATTCTTCCGAAAGTTGGAAAAGAACTGCCAACTTTCAGGAGAAACAGTACAAGTCGTTTGTGATCATATTACTGTCTCTCCTCATATTACTGGCAGATAAAGGAAGGCCCTACCAACGACCCTGAGCTGCTTAGCTAAGAATTTAAAATTTGCGCCGAAAAAGAGAGGTTCTTTAAAAAGAGTTATGGACCGAATCTCCACTACCAATAAGGATTTGCTCGAAAAAGGGAGAAAGCTGAAGCTTGGTCTTACTGCAACACACTCAGCTGATAATAAGTGCGACCCGTAAAAGCGCTTTGCACTAGAATTCACATCTATATAAGCAAAAAGGGTAGGGCGTACAGGGCGCGTGTGGCGCAGTGGTTGGAGGCGCCGCTGCGACACACACGCGGAGTCGATACCTGCGCCTATGGCCCACTAAGTCTTCCATCCCTCTGGGGTCGACAAATTGCTACCAGAATAGTCTGAGAGGATAGCATCACTGGCTCGATACATCGGTAGGCCAACGCGGGTCATTTTGAAAGCCAGATATGCATCCACTTACCTCCAACAGTACTTAATGAAGTTAAATGCATAGCGCATCTCTGAGGGATTGGTCAACTCTGAGAGCTTTATCGTTTACGCTTTTGCAGGCAAAAAAATTTTTTAAAAGAAACTCAAAAACGGTGCTGTCAGAGGAAGTGTAGTGGGAATGTTTGTGACTACAATGTTCCACTATTTATTTCGATGAACGAATATGGGACTATCACTACGTTCTGCCAGTAAATGGAATCCATAGAGATAAAGTTGTATACCAATCTTTCTCGTCCCTTCTCGGATCCTGAAATCCCTGCTGGAGAAAAACCGCGTAGGATTCTAACCTCTGAAGTTCAAGTTGCGACAAAAAGGACAGAGAGAGACAATACAGAGAGAGACAAAGCTCGGGGACCCAATAATATTAATGTTGGTTTCCTACTTCTGGTAGCCCTAATTATATCTTACCGTTTGAAGTAGAATATCCCAGACTGGCGAGGTCTCATCGATGAAGTGTAACCGAACGGATCTTCGAAACTATTTTCCGACAGAAGAGTGCGCACTGTAAGTTGTTCACAAAGATTTTCCTTCCGCACATTTGAAAGATCTTGGAAGAGGCACCACCAGTTGTGCAAGCAGCATTCCAACAAAAATTCTGCTCAATGGATCACATCTTAACTGTGTCACGGGTCATGGAACTCTATCGCGAGTACCATCTGCCTATTGTCCTAATGTTTATTGAGTACGAACAAGCGTTTCACAGAGTCAGAACGAATACAATGCTATCAACGTTCGTCGACTAAGAAGTGGACTCGTCCAATATGCGAACGCTAGCTAACAGTTATCGGAACTGCAGCGCAAAAATACAGAGATGCCATGGACCATAGCCATAGGAAAAGGAGTTCGACAAAGAGACACAATATCACCGGAACTGTTTATTGCCGCATTAGAGTGGGTAATGAAGTTTCTTGGTTAGGAATGAGAACGGTTTGTGTATTGATGGACCATCAAATCTTCGTTTCGCTGACAACATCGTCTTTTAAGGAAGTATCAACGAAGCTGAGATGATATTAAGTGAATTCAACCAAGCGAAAAAAAAATCATTGGGCTGCTCATATAAATAGAAGAAACGTTTAATTCATGGTACGAAGGCAAACAAATCCAATTGGCTGACTCTCTGTTTGCAGAGAACACGTAGGTATACCTTGAAGGTTCAAAGAAATAAAGAACTGTATGAAGGAGGAATCAGACAAAAGAGGTAGAGCAACATCAGCTGCATTGCAGGATTTGGAGAATTTACATCGAAAACGAAACGAAGTTTAATCCGTCATGATAAGAACGTATGATAGGTGGATGAAAAGAACAGTGGAATGAACTCTAAGAGAATGCAACAGTCCATTTGCACGATCATCCAAGCGAAGGGTGGACGTGTTCTTTGCTAACATCATCCAAGGAAACGCTCAAAGAAGCCGCTGACGAGCTTGCAGACCCAAAACTCTGCACTCACCTTTTCGACTAAACTGTTCTCCCAACCTTTTTATATATCAGATACGTGGGCTGCTACTTCAACCACGTCAACAATACTGTTCAATACTCACAGAGCACTTCAATAATCTCTTGCGAAATATATCCGGCGCTCACATCGTCTAGTCGAAATGCACAGTTCAGACCTGCGATACCTTTCTCACCCACAAGGTTTTGGAGAATATACATCGAAAATGAGGCAAAGATTGGTTCGTCATGATAAGCAGAACATATGGTAAGTGGACGAAAAGAACAGTGGAATGAACTCCAAGAGAATGCAAGCGTTCATTTGCACGACCACCCAAGCGAAGGGCGGACGTGTTCTTTGCTAACGTCATCCAAAGAAACGATTTCGGGAATATAAAGTGAATCGCGTGAACGTTGCCATGTTCGAAGAAGACCACTACCATGGACGACGACAGCGCAAGAGGAAAACGAAAAGATGTGGTGCTGGCACTTGCTCTACTAGTGAAGGCGGGCCATCCAAATATCAAAATATTGTAGCCACAACGATGCTCAGATATTTGAAAAAATGCGATCCCATACCTGATTCGAGCCCGCGATTAGCCTTTCCGGGCACCACCTATCACCAACTGCACTTGCTTTGCTTTCTCTCAGTCAGTTTTTTTCTACCCTAACGGTGCTATCAGTAATCACCGGTCAACGGGAATGATTTTGAGAGCACAAATCAGCAATCGGCATTCAACCCAGTTAGGCTGAGGATATAGTCGAAATTACAATGTGCAACTTTTTATATACTGTCTTTCAATACTTTTTTCCTGGAATGGTATAAAGCTTTAAAGGGACAAAGTTTTCGGCGTTGATCAACCTCTGAGGGGTACACCATGCATTTGACTTCATTGAGCATCGTTAGAGGTGATCGAATTCATATCTGGCCTGTACATTAACCCCCGGTGGCCTACCTATGTGTCGAGTCAGTGCTACTATCCTCCAAGACAAGTCTGGTACCAATTTGTCGACCCCGGAGAGAAGGCGGATGTAGTGAGCGTGGGGTGGAGGATGTATGGCATGTGAACTGCAGGGCACCTTCAACCACTGCTCTACATGCATACAATTTATATCAAGGTATGATGTGAAACACAACGATGCTGAGATCTTTGAAAAGCTCAGACCTCAGGCCTGATTCAAACCCACGTCTACACTTTCCTGGGGCTTACATAGTACCAGCTCTATCACTTACGCCCTTTATTTTCCTAGTTCTCGAGTAGTTTTGTAGCATAACGGTGCCATCAGCAATCACGGGTCAAAACTGCTGTGAGAAAGGCAAAGGAAAAGCCACAGTGATGAAGTATGTAACACATGAGCCCTCAGAAAGCGTGGTCACACGTTCGACTCGGGTCTGAGATTGTGGTTGTAAAATACAACCACAGTGATGCTTAGATATTTGCAACATTCGGATCCCAGGCCAGATCGAGCCGCGATTAACCTTTTGCAAATATCTCAGCTTCACAATGGTTGTATTTCACACAGTACCCTTCCGTGACAAAATAGAGGAATTGGTAGTAAATAGAAAATTATACATTATTAAAATATTTTACTACAAAAAGAATCATGTTTTCGGTGTTTCTCGAATAAATAAAACATACAGAGAAGCTGCGGATTATCGCGATGAGTGACGCTCATTCGTGTCCCTCGTTAGTTAACACGATCGTGGGTTGCACATGTAACTTAGTTTTGATCAAAAATGCCATTCACGGTGTACTCTTCATACTTCGATTCAGCACGTACACATAAAAGTACGGTTGACGTTTTTTGATCGGGATGTGAAGAAGCTGACGTTCTGTTCTCTTAGTGATCTTGACAACTAGCTCAAATGCTTCAATTTTGAAAAAAAACTTTTGGGACTACGTAACGTCAGTCATTTAATTCAGCCTGTCACTATTATCTTTTCCTAATGATTATAGATGCACTATCAAGTACGGTGTGTTCGCTTGACTCGTCAGTGTATACAGTTGGTGAGGAATGGCGTCAGGACACGTGCACCAACTGTTCGTGCCATTCCGGTGGTCGTACGGTTTGCCGTCAGTTAGTTTGTCCACAATGCATCGAACCGGTGCCAATCGAAGGGCATTGTTGTCCGCTCTGTAAAGGTTTGTTTAGTAACCGCATTATTTTAGTAACCTGTTTGCTTGTGCTTTTCGTAGCTACTTGTGTATTTCTCAGTATTTTGAGCTCCTCATTTGAACAAGTTTCGTGCATGACAGCTCTTATAATATAGTTTTTGCAGAACTAAAATCGTTGCAATCGTTTTCTTTTCCAGACGAAAGATGGGCAGCATTCAGCGAAGGGAACGGACAGTCATTAGACACTCCTTCACCCCATGCAAATTCGTTGTTGTGGATCGGGTTGTGTCTACTTTCTCTAGCTGTAGTCGGAGTAATTCTTCTGCTGCTTATTCTCTACAAGAGAAGTCGTGGCGAGACAAAGGTATGCTTTTGTAAAACACCTTTGGTCGGATTTTGCTGTTCTCATACCTAGATTCATTGCTTAGATCCAGTAAAATTCGATGGTGTGTAATAGTCGCTGAATTTATTCGACCAATTCCTGTATTTTATGTTTAAACAGCAGTCGGGTAAGGCTAGAGGCATTCGACAAACTTCCCCAAGTAATGCACTACACACTGGAATGTGTGCCTTAAGATAAACGTAATTTTGATACTGTCAGAATGAATTGTCTATGTATTCCGCTTAGGTATTCGAATTATGATAGAACATTATTCGACAACTCTTTAGAAATCCTTCGAGAATACGCCTTCATGTGTTCGACTGTCGGCATCCAAGCAGATAGGTTCCATTCCGCATTTGGTGGACTGGTCACCGTCATCACGTAAGGATTTCCATGCAGACGGCCAGAGCGAAAGTCTGCTATCCACTGTGTAGGTACTTTTGTCCACTGTTATCGATTTGAGTAATACGTCAGCTCAAGGTTTAAAAAACGTGTCAAATTTTCCCTTTTGCTTTGAAAATTTTCGAATAAAGAAAGGGAAGAGTCTTACTATGAAAGGGACTAAAAGGGACTTCATGTGCAACTTAAATTTTTTTCACTATTTTTACATGATCCGATACCACATGTATTACACCATGTGGATGCCAGTACTTGCATTCGATTCGTTTCCTCGCATATACCGTCCACGAAGGTCCTCGAACTTCTTGCGCGCTCCTTCGGGTGCTCCGTGAGGATTTTCTCTTTTTCATCGCGAATGTCCTGAATATTGATCGAGTTGACTTTCTCTGAATTCTAAGATAGCCATGCTGGGGCGTTCTCGTGTGGATTGGAGAGAGCTTGTCCCAGTTGTGGTCGAGAGTCTGATTAATAAGCACTGGTTTGGTGCTATGTTCGCTGCTTGCTATATTTCACAAGATATCATTTAGCTGCTCTATCGGTGATGCAAAACATCTTTTATATGTTGAATTGCTGTGTAGGAGGGACCTCGTCCCCAAACCACTAGCCAAATGGCACTCATTTTGACGACATCGAAAGCTCTGTCGTAATCAACTGCAGTTAAACATTTAGTCAATACTGTTACAGAGTTCTATATGGCCTGTTTGGATGTGGTTCAGGGTAGTGGTTTTTGTGAAGGTTTTTCAAGTCGCATTTGACAAGCAAACTAGATAGTGGTTGCCCACAGATCCCTTTCGTCACCTTTCTGTGGAAAGAAAATAGCGCAATACCTTCTTCTGGTCTTTGTTGCTTTTTCCTGAAATCGTGTTGGCATTTAAGTAGCGATAAGAGCTTCCTCCTTTCCCTTCAACAATTTCAAGACAAACTGATTTTCCGACGAAGCAGACGAAAACTAGACCCACTACGGAAAACATACTACTGACTTGTCACGTGATAAAGTCGTATTTCTGTGAGAATATGATCTATCTCTGTGCATGCATTTGTAAATTAAGTTAATTAAAGGATTCTTACACCGCGACATGTGGATTTCCGTATACCACTATTGTATATCATTGTTCTAAGCAGTTGTGGATCATCTTTCATCTCTTTAAGATTAGAGCGGAAATCATAATGGGATCTAAATATTGCAAGAACGACATGAAACAGAACGAAACGACAATCTAGAACGCGATCTCATGGACGGAAGCGCTGAGACAACTATGCCTCAGCACAACTATTCTTTTACTGTTAAGAAAAATTATTTTTACTTTAACTTATTATTTACTGGCTACTTAGGGATTAAGTAATAAACTAAAATTGTGATTATAACTGCAGCCTCAACTTAGCTGGGTTCATTGCCGATTTGGACTCGCTAGATCAATCCCGCTGACAGGTGAATGCCGATGACACTGATTAATAGAACTAGCTGAAAGATAGGCGAAAGAAAGGACCCGGATAGTTGTGGTGGTGAACGCATTAGCCCCTGGAAAGGGTAGTAGCGCGTTCGTTCCCTACCCCTGACAGCTGCGGTTCGGAGTTTTGCAAATATCTCAGCATTACTGAAAATATTTTTATATTTATTTCATATAATCCGTCTTGCAGTACTTCCCAGATTCGATATCTTCTCTCGCATCCATCATCCTCGAAAGTGTCCCCACTTTAACGTGTGGCTTAGGCTGCTGCTTGAGGATTTTCTTTTCGCCGTGAATGTCGTAGATTGCTAGCTGAGTCGATTCTCACTGGAGTCCGGAGATAGCCGGGCTGGAGAGTTCCCAATCCGAATACGGAGAGCAGGTTTTTTTCAGACAATTCCGGTACCAATATGCTGACCCTAGAGGAATGAGAGGCTTGGTGAACCCAGTACGGAATCGAACCAGCACCGTGCTCGTGATCACCGGTATCACTACCACTGTGCTATCCGCTTCCTGTTTTAAAACAGTTGCAAGCCTAAAGTCAAATTCGCCACTAAATTTTTGGACAGAAAAGGAACATTCTTTAAAGTTTTCACGAGAATTGCAAATACTATATTGTTCTAAGCGATTCCAGGTCGGACACGATGACGGCGACCAGTTGCGCGTCATCTGGAGTTGATCCACATGCTGACGCTAAGCTTCTCACCACGCGCAATCTTCATCATTTTCAGTGTCGTGTCTAAGTATCACTGAGCATCTGCGCTACGAGAAGCTATCGTAGTCGCTGATACGCATCCAAAATTTTAGACGTTAGACCTCCTTCAGTGACAGCATTTTGCAAAAAAAAAAAAAAAACTAGTGTGCACCTTCACCAGCATGGCCATGTGCACCGTATGCGTGGAGTCTAATCACGTCTGATATGGCTAGCGAATGCAAGGTGACTATGTTGCTTCGACTTTCATGTCGTCCAATAATGGACAAGAAATGTACAGACCAGTATAGACGGTTTTCGGTGTTCTTGAAGAATATGTTCCTTGTTTCTTTTTGTTTACTATTCCTTTCTGTCTATCATACTTTATTTTCTCACTACACCCGCGCAGATATCGTCATGCGTTACCGTTTCGTGTGGGTGAATTTATACAGTTCTACAGGTCAGATGTCTTAGTATGTCATTCCGAAGTAGCTAAAGTTCTACGTCTTCAAAGCAGAAAAAAAAGGAGGCTTATTCTTTTCTATGAAAATCTCCTAAAGCGTATCTATTCGATGGGCTTGTCATCACCATGCTAATCGATATTCCCTCCAAATCTGTGTAGATCCCTGAACAGGTCTCGATCGATTTTTCTCATGTATATGCGTGTGTCTGTGTGATGATTGGTTGTGTTTCTTTCTAGTATACTGATTATCGCAGCAGAAAATTCTCTTCGTTCTCTTAGATGATCGCAAGTAGTTTTCATGAGTTTTGTTCTGTCATTCATTTTTATTTGCGCGGAATCAAAGAAAAAAAAACGTGTTTGTACCTATCCCGGAGAGAAAAATAAAAAAAAGCTCTACTCCTCTTCAGATAACTCCCAAGCAAAGCACAGGGCAATGTACATAACATGAAGACCGTTGTTGTTGTGATGTAGTTAACTTATTGATTGATTATCGATTTTTCGTTTAAAAACAAAGCCGCGTCGTCGACACGGTATAGAGAAGTGCAATCTATGTTTTTGTTATCAACAAGAAGAAAATCACCATTACTTCCGAATATTTTGAAGGTAGTAGATGTAATGTTGCCACGAGCTTCTTTTAATACGCGTTATTAATGCATATTGATTGTGTTGTGATTTTTTTTTCGTAGTTTTCTGTAGTAGTACTGACGTCTCTCATGTGTCAGTAAATTTCTTGGTTGGCATCAAAGATGTATTGTAGTCGATTTGTATGAATAAACAGCTTTAAAATATCGTAAATTACCTCTTTGAGAGGAGTCCCATGCCCAACATGTCACTTTATAGGGATCCTGGCAATTCTTCCATTTGATTCGTCTCCTGTTATCCGTCCTCTTCGAAGGTCTTGCGACTTCTATATGGATGCGGCTGCTACTTAGAGATTTCCTCATGAATGTCGTCGAATACTGGTCGAGTAGATGAACCCAGGAATCCAAGGATTGCCCTCCTAGAGGGTTTTTAGGTCACCACGACAGATAGTCCCTAGCCTTTGCGGTACGGAAGGCACAATTCTGATATCAAATTACCGACTCTGGAAGGATAAGAATTATTGGCCTGGGACGTGGTTGGGCCACGCCTTGCTGGACAACGTTTCTACCACTGCGCTACCAGCGCTCATTCCTGAACTTGTACTAACAATCAACTAGAAACGATTAAAAATCACACCTTTATTATTGGAGATGACACCATTGAGCATAATAATTTGGAAGACCATTTCAAGAGAGTTCACAGCTTCATCTAATCGTTTTTCCATGGCTCTTGCTCTTTCATTTCCAGTGCTCGATGAATACCAAATGCAGTGAATTCAATGACAGTAATAATTAACGAAATAAATGAGATGTCGATGAGAAAGCTGGCTGCTAAATTATCGACTTTTATTTGGGACCAGCGATAAGCCGATCGATAAATCGGCAAGGATCTGAAGATGTGATACCCACCGGCAATTTTGTCTACGTGGTTTACGAAAATGATAAGAAGAACAAGTTCGCAGACAATCAACAACATCTAAAGAACTGAGGAATAATGAATATTTTGACAAAGCGATTGGCTGTCATTCTGATGAAAAAAAACAAGTTGGACTTAAATGACCTTTGACCTTTATAGCTGAATACTGAACATACTTGAAACCCAACATAGAGCTGAAACGCGTATGGCACCCAATAACGTGAATCGAGAAATTTCGCTAGGTTACAGCAGCCGTTCAATAACATTGTGAAGAT